GGGCGGCTGCAGCATGGGGGGGGGGCCGGGGGGCTGGCCATGGCACCCCCCACCCGGCTGGCACCCGGGGCGGACCGCCCCCCCCGCCCCCCCCTTAGTACGCCACTGCCCCTGTATACATGTGTAATGGTACAGTTTCATGAGTAACAATTGGAGAACTTAATGGTCTACCATCTATGGCCTCAATGGCCAAGGGTATCTCCCTTTCTCTGACGGGAATGTTATTTTTCGTAACAAACTCAGAGTCAATAAAGTTCTCAGCAGCCCCAGAATCAACCAAGGCTAATATGCATTCTGCTATACAACTCACCCCCATATGAAGGGAAACAGGGAGAAGCAAACGATTAGGAGGCAATTTAGGAGACTTAGAGATCACACCCAAGGCCAGTCCCCTATAAGGTCTTAGGTGCGAGAGTTTTCCGGACGCAAAGGACATTCCCTTACCATATGGTCTCGCCTACCACAGTATAGGCAGAGTCCATTCCTTCTTCTAAGTAGTTTTTCAGTATCCGAGAGTTTGGCAACCCCTAATTGCATGGGTTCCTCCTCGGGTACTTTAACACTCTCAGGTTTATCAACTCTAGGGTTAATAGATGTGACCAGACGTCTATTCTTGTTTTTGGTATAGAGCCTGTCGCGAATTCTATTATCTATATCAATGAGGTAGTCAATAAGATCCTCTAATGGAATAGGAAGCTCCCTTGCCGCTACCTCATCTAATATAGTGTCAGATAAACCTTCCATGAACGCAGTAGTTAACCCATTATTGGTCCAATCTACCTGTGAAGCAAGGGTACAAAACTGAATAGCATAATCCGCCACAGGAATGGTTCTAGACAAGAGCGTCTGGAGAGCCTGTGCTATCTGATCCATACGGTGATCCTGCTCTACAAACCTTGCCTCGTGAGAAGCCATTTGCTGAGCCAAATCTGCGGGGTCCATGGCCCTATCGTAATGTAACGAGAATATACCCCAACACGCAGGATTCAGCTAAACAAAAGACAACACAGAGGAGAGATACGTCTACCGGACCTTAGAATGGCCGGACTCGACGTATATGAGAGGAGACAGAGTCAGGAACAATCCGAAATCAAGGGCACAGAGAGACAGCGTAAACTAGGACAAGCCGGGGTCTGGTACACAGTAAACAACAAGCCGACAACCAGAACAGATAAGGATAAAGAGAAAACGTAGTCAGAAACAAAGCCAAGGTCAATACGGAGAAACACAACTGAACACAACAAGCGCTAAAGGGAACTGATACAGAAACCACGATAGGGCAAGGAACAAAGGAAAGAAGGTGAGTATAAATACCTAAACATCTAATTTGATTGGTCCCTGTCACATCCACGCCCCCAAAAGGTAAGTGTATGGGGAGTGTGGCATGACAGGGACCAATGGGATGCCTTTTCCAATTTAGGCACCCACTGTCCCTTTAAGAGCGCGCCCGATACCCGCGGCGCGCTCTTAGAGTAGGTGGAACACGTGACCGCTACTAGTCACAGCGGTCGGCTGAGCCGCGCGCGGCTCGTGCAGCAGCAGGACCGCGCGCGGCTCGAACAGAGGACCCCGGCCGGCCCCTGGAAAGGGTAAGTACCGCTACAGTCCGGCGTTAGATATGGGCGGATGCGCGTTATGTTCTTGAGTTGGAAGCGACAGGATTTGGCTATCGATTGAACATGGGGAGTAAAAGAGAGATCAGAATCAAAAAGAACCCCTAGGCAGCGAGCCTGGGAGGTAGAGGTGATAGTAGCGCTGTTGACTTGGATGGAGACAGACACAGGAATAGCAGCACTTGAGGGAGGAAAAACTAGAAGTTCTGTTTTGGACAGGTTGAGTTTAAGGAAGTGAGCAGCCATCCAGTTGGAAATAGCAGAGAGGCAGTCAGAAACACGAGTCAAGGTGGGCGGAGAGAGATCAGGGGAGGACAGGTAGATTTGCGTGTCATCTGCATATAAATGGTATTGGACGCCAAAGGAGCTGATGAGTTTACCAAGGGAGGCAGTATAGATAGAGAACAGTAGGGGGCCGAGGACAGAACCTTGGGGGACGCCGAAAGGGAGGGGTTGGGGAGAAGAGGCAGAGCGAGAGAAAGAAACACTGAAAGAGCGCTGGGAGAGGTAGGAGGAGCACCAGGAGAGAGCACTATCCCGTAGACCAAAGTTACGGAGAATGATCTGATGATCAACAGTGTCAAAGGCGGCAGAAAGATTAAGGAGGATTTTGATAGAGTATTGGCCGCGAGATTTAGCAACAATTAAATCGTTGGATACTTTGGTCACAGCAGTTTCGACAGAGTGACCAGCACGGAATCCAGACTGAAGGGGGTCAAGCAGAGAATTGGATTCAAGAAAGTCTGTCAATCTGGCGTAGACAACTCTCTCAAGGATCTTGGAGGCAAATGGCAGTAGCGAGATAGGGCGGTAGTTGGATGGGGAGTTGGGATCAAGGTTGGGCTTTTTTAGAATTGGGGTTACGGTTGCATGTTTGAAGGCAGAGGAAAATGTGCCAGAGGAAAGGGAGAGATTGAAAATGTTAGCGAGAGGAAGAGCAAGAGAGGGAGACAAAGTGTGGATGAGATGCGAGGGAATAGGATCGAGGGAGCAGGTGGTGGGGCGGGAGGACAGGAGCAGAGCAGAAACCTCTTGTGCTGTAGCAGGTGCAAATGAGCTTAGGATGGCAGGGGGAGTGGGGTTGGGTGATGTATTGATACTGGTTGGAGAAAGATTAGAGATCTCTTTCCTGATTGTAGAGATCTCAGTGAAATGAGATGCAAAGTTTGTGGTGGACAAGGTGGTGGAAGGAGGGGGAGTCACAGGGCGAAGAAGTGCGTCAAAAGTGTGAAACAGGTGTTTGGGTTGGTGGGACAGTGTGCTTATGAGGGTGTTGAAGTAGCTTACTTTTGCAGAGGAAAGAGCCATGCTGTAGGAGCACAGCATAAATTTATAGTGGGCAAAGTCAGATGCAAAGTGAGATTTTCTCCAGCAGCGTTTAGCAGTTCTGGAACATTTTTGGAGGTAACGGGTCAGCTTGGTGTGCCAGGGTTGTAGTTGTGGGCGCTTGCTGCGTTTAACTGTAGGAGGTGCCATGATGTCAAGTTGAGAGGAGAGAGTGGAGTTGTAGAGTGAGGTTGCAGAGTTAGGGCAGTTGTGATTTGAGATGGGTAAAAGGAGTGTTTGGAGTTTAGTGGAGAAGTGCTGGAGATCGAGAGAGTTGAGGTTTCTGCGAGGTTGGAGAGTGGTGAGATTTTGGTATGGGCATGCAGATGTTAAATGTTAGCAGATAGTGGTCAGACAAAGCAAATGGAACAGTGGCGAGATCAGAGGTGGTACAGAGATTGGTGAAGATGAGGTCAAGAGTGTTTCCTGCAGTGTGAGTTGCTGAGGAAGAAATCTGTGTGAGTCCAAAGGAGGAGGTTACAGAGAGCAGACGAGAGGCATCAGTTGATAATGGATGTATATCATTATTTCTCCCCTTTTATGCCAAAAGAAAGGTTAGTCTTCAAAAAAGGACACTTGTACGCTTTTGAAGCCAAAGGACTGAATCATAACTGATAATTGTAGAAAGTAATCCAGGCACTCCAAATTGTTCCAAATGGTAGGCAACTTTATTGGACCCAAGAACCAATAAAGTTGCCTGCCGTTTGGAACAATTTGGAGTGCCTGGATTACTTTCTACAATTATACTTTATGTATGGTCTCTTTGGTACTGGCACTGATCCAGCAGCACCCTGAGATTCCAAAGCGAAGGGTTGAGTGCAGTTCCACCATCTATGAATCATAACTGAAGCAGGCCCAGGAAGGCATTTTGAACTATCTAATGATGCCAGGCTGTTTTCTCTTACTCAACTTACTTCATACCATCATTATCCTGTTTCATTCCCCCTAAACACATTTGACTTTACTTATTTTATAACACTCTATCAGCCTGCATTACATTATATTAAACTTAATTTCCTTTGATCAGTATTGGCACATAATTTGTTAATTGGTTGGTAATTTTCTGATATATATCCTTTAAAATATTTATTTAAAACAGTTAAGAGAAAGATATTGATTCTTAATACAATGTTTTTGTTATCTTCCAAAATACAAGATCAATGTGGACAAGGTCTACGAATGTGTGCAAATGGACCAAACATAGAATATTATTAGAAAGGCAGGCTTATTCAAGTCATATAATCAGTGTTGTCCTTAAAGTTCATTAATGGGAAATCTGCAAAAATACAAGTAACAAAAATAATCACTGGAAAGCTATTTTGTTTATTTTTAATAGGTTTATTAGGTTTATTTTTTAAAGATTTTTAATAGGTAACTAAGAAAAACATAACTTATACATAAGGAATAGTTCAAAGCACATAACTGACTGAAAGGTGAACCTTTATAACACCTTGGTGGCTCTAGGAAATGTTAATTGTGTATGGAGGCACAACAAAGAACATTGCCCCAGGTAAGAATTGATCACCCTTTTTTCAAACACTTCTTTTTGGTTTTATAAATGTAGAACCTTACCCATGCCACGATCGTGTGGCCGAGGAAGTACTTTGAGTTTCACTGCAAGCATAAAAGGTGTCAGCTTTGGCCTTGAGAGTTCCTAACACCTTGGTAAATTTACTAGGACAGGGGTAGGCAACCCTATAGGAACTCCAGATGTTGTGGACTACATCCCCCATGATGTTTTGCCCAAACTATGGCAGCAACAGCATTATGAGAGATCTAGTCCACAACACCTGGAGTGCCGAAGATTGCCTATTTCTGTACTAAGAGCCACTGGCAGACCAATAGACAACATTAGATATTGACAGTAACAATCTGGAAACGCAAAATTAAAATTTTTGTGGTGATTCAAATGGATTGAAATATGAAGATAGACATCCTTCAGTTATATAATCTTCTGAAATTGGCCCACCTGGATGGAATGACTATGCTCCGCTGTTAGAACTAAACACGACCAGCATTGTCTCACAGTCCATTGATAATAGAGTCTATTCTACCACTTGCCAACATACCAGAGAAGATAGAGATATTTATTAGTCTTTAGAGTGACAGATGTTATCAATGAAACCGCCTTAGTATAAATAGAAAGGAAAATAAAGGTTAGAGATTAGCCAGGGTGAGGCAACATCATGGCCCTGGAGTTAGAGGAACAAGGGAATTGCCAAAGGTTTGGTGTGGGTAGCAGACAATGAGAATTGCAGGTCCTGGTCAAGATACCAGAATATAGTATAGTCACAGGACTCACAAACAGAGAGAACTCTGATAGAGACTGTCACATTGGAGTAGTGGAAACAGTTTCCTGTATATATTGAGGGCGGAGAGACAGACAAAATTACTGAAGTCTTTGATGTCTATTGGTAGGGAAACAATGCACTGGCTAGTGCAGTGTCCTTTTTACAATCCACTCGGCTGCTGGTTTTATAACAGGCTATGGGTGTTGGATATCACTCTGCACTTACTGCCTATATCATTGATGTAGTAACTCACGGGATGCCAAATCTAATTAAGGGATTAGCTGCTAGAAACAGGAGTAATATGTTTGGTAATAAAAAAAGAATGCTTGTAATCTATTGCCACCCGCCATGCAGTTGCCAAATTTTGTCACTGATTCAAGATGAAGAGGACTACCATACTTAGAAGACACAGATGCTGTAAGGTGATATTACTAATTATAAACATGCATACACAAAGCCTAACACCTATTGCATACAGATGACCATGTTCCAGAATTTATCAAGTGAATTTATTTGTATTCCACTCAGATGACATAGTTGCTCAACAGTCTTTCTCAAGAATTAAAAAAGGCTCCTGGTGAGTTGAAACATCACCTTAGGGGTCTAAAAAAATACGGTTTTATTAGGGCCTTTGTATAAATCAGCTATGAAGAATGCAAAACATCATAAGATCAAACCGCACATGAACATAAAAACAAAACTATTAAAAGATCATGTGATTATTAATGTCTGTTTATGTCCTATAAAAAGCATGACTTACACAGTTTAATAACTGCTGTCATTAGACAGTTCAACCACTAGGTGGTAATATAGAACTGTTTTGTGTGTGGCAACACCATAAGAGGAACTAACAAAGCTGAGCTAGAGGGTGAGAATCTATATTTTATTTATTTATAAAATCTGGATGCTGATAATCTATACTGGAAGATGGATAGATTGCCCAGTACACACTCTGTATCTAACTAAAAATATTTATTAAAAAATGTAGAATATATGGCACACATATATGCATCCATGTTAAAACAGACTTCCCATCTAAGCCCTCTTATGTGACCCAATGGAAAACAGAACTAAATCAAACTGGGCAAAAAACTTTATATTATTGATACCTAATCCCTGCTGGGTTGGCACACATCTACCCCTCTACATCCAATTTTGTTGGAGATGGATTTAGTGATGATGTACCATGCAAGTATTCTGGGGCTGCCCACAACTTATTGCATACTGGCACGCTATTAAGTCCCTAACCAAGATGGGGGCGGGCCCGAGGGGGTGTGTTTTGTCATCACCAATGGCAAACATGCTCCCTCTCAAAATGAGTGTTGGTTCAATGTTCTTCAAGGGCAGACCATACGCAGAGCTCTGCCGAAGAGCACTAGCATGAGGAAAAGGCCCTGTGCAGTGCAAGCATTTTTATTAACATGCTTGTTTTGTGTTTGCTTGGAACGTGTCTCTGGTATCTCCATAAATAGGACACCAGAAAACAAAAATGCCAGGAAAGAGTATTGTGCATGTGTTTGCCGCCTGCTTGTGAGATTGCGTGTGTGTAGAGTGAGCTGATTGTGGTGTGTTGTGTAAATAGGTCGGTTTCAGTTGTGTTGTGTTTGTGCGGTAATGTGTGGCTAGGGGATGTAGAGGGTGAGAGAGTGTGTATAGGGAGCATAGTGTGTATACAGGTTGTAGAGTGTGTGTGTGTTTAGGGAATGTAATATGTGTTTGCTTACAAGGAATCTAGTGTGTGCATAGGGGATCCAGAGTTTATATGTCAGGAATGTAGTGTGTGTGAAGGGGATCTATTGTGTGTTTAAAGGACCCAGAGCGTGAATAGGAGATCTAGTGTGTGTTTGTGTGTATAGGGAGCATAGTGTGTGTAGATGATCCACAGTTGTGTAAGGGATCTAGTGTGTGTCTGGAATGTAATGTGTGTATGAGGGGTGTTGTGTGTGTGGGGGGCGGCACAGTGTGCGACGGTGCAGTTTGTGTATGTGTGAGGGGGCTCTGTATGTGAGGCGTGCTGTGTGTGCCGTGTGTGTGAGGGTGCTGTGTGTGCGTGTGGGGGCTGTATGCGAGAGGTGCTGTGTGTGTGTGAGGGTGCTGTGTGTGTTTGAGTGTGCAGTGTGTGATAGTGCTGTGTGTTTATGTGAGGGGTGCTGTGTGTGTATGTGAGGGGTGCAATGTGTGAGAGGTGCTGTGTGTGTTTATGTGAGGGGTACTGTGTTCAAGGGTGCTGTGGGGGGGCTGTGTTTGAGGGTGCTGTGTGTGTAAATATGTTTGGAAGTATTGTGTGTGTGGGGGGGGAGATAGATTAAGAAATATTTTATTTTTATTTAAAAAGCGTAGTATCCCCCCGATCTCACAAGACACAGCTCCCCGGGTCCTCTCCTGTCCCGCTGCCTGTGGGCCAGTGAGGGAGATTTTTGATCTCCCCCCCGGCCCATGAAGGCACACAACAGGGCCAGCGCTCGGATAGCGTTGGCTCTGCATGGGCCGGCAGGGGAGATCTCTTAATCTTAATCTTTTCCCTGATTTATACTACAGCACTCATTCCTGAGCGTATTTTCAAAAATCTCCATGATTGTACACATTCTTCTCCTCTACCACTACTTGATATGCCTGTCAATCCGATGTTTGTAGTTTTTGATTCTCTGTATTGTTGTGTTTGAAAACATAAGTAGGACCCTAGTGTCTTGA